CGCTCTTTTAACTGTTGGGGGCCAGCAGTTCTCTAAAAATGTTATTGCAAGAGCTTATATGACCAAACTTGTAAGTTATCTAACTTCTATAATCTTATTTATCTACGAAGAAAAGATTAGAACATCCTTAGGAAGCTTATAAGCTTTTGCTGAGGAAAAAAATAAGTTAGGTCAAACACCACCTAAATATCCATAAGTGTATATATAAGATCATAATTATAGAAATATTTTTGATATTAAAACACTTCCATTCTGAGTTATTATCGTTCACCATCATTCTTCCCTATTTATGATAATCCCAATCCCAAATTTTGAAATGTTGAAACAAAAGAAAGGCAAAACTTCCAAATGCCTTCCAAGTAAATGGGAATTGTGAAATGTAAATTTTATTGCTAAGATCATGAATTCCAAAAGAATATGGAACAAGTAAGCAAGAAAAAATCCATTAAAGGAATATCAGCGACTTATCTATATTAACATCCAATAACTTTTTTGTTTAATCTCTTCAACTAGAGCCTCTTTCATCTTCCTATGTTTGAATAAGCTAGAATATCATTTTCCTTAACCAAGGTGATATCATCACTTACTACTGAATCAGGAGTCCACCACTAGGTGACTCAATTTATTTACTAAAAATTTTAGCATCTTTTACAATTCCTTTTCTTTAGTTATCCCATCTACAAATTTCTTTAATACTTTGCTCTCATTGTTTAGATAGTATTAATAATGTCATCTAGCTTTGTAAGATGAGATATCTCTTTGAAAATGCTTAAGATAAACAGCACAATTTTATTGCCTGCGTCACAAATGCTTAAGATTAATGGCACAATGTTCAATTCCTTCAAGTTACTTATGAGCAATGGCGAGATTTTTCCTTGACCATCCAAAACACTACTTAAGTGGAGGGAGCAACTCTAGAGAGATGTAATCACTTTCCGTAAATAATCATAATTGTTTCCATAATGAGAAAAAATCCTTTTACGGGGGCCCATATACTTGAAAAATTGTTTGAATATCTGTATAATTAGTGTTTCATAATTATAGATCCAATTTTTCTAGACAAAATCTAAGCCTTGTGAACTTTTCAAGAAGTAAGATCTCCTTAAAATTTGATTACCTCATCCTGCCAACTAAATTTTAAATGTGAAACCATTTAATTAAAAACTTGGATAAGAACGACATGCCGATGAATCGAAGTTAGCCTCTAATACTAATTGATGTGGGGCAAAAAGCTTGAAAGATTACGGGAAAAATTAAGCAAGAGAAGAAAAAACAAGAGATCCTGGATCTCAATATGCAACTTAATTTCTCAATAAGATTTGAATAACAACCACAGTAGCCTCCTAACTATAAAGTAATTCTCAAATATAAGGCTTTCTAGATATCCTATTGTGTCTAGAATGCTGAACAGTGTCCTAAATAAATAAGAAATTAAACTCGAACTAATAATAAACATATTTTTATAATTTTTAAATAAATTAAATATCATTAATAGACATAAGGATCAAATTACACAAGTATCTCTTAAAATTAGAATGCTTCCATTCTAGGCCTTCCTTTTCTGCATTACCAAGCTAAATCACCAATGCAAAAAGAAATGGCAAATAACACAATGCCTTACCCTATAACATAGGTCCAGTTGTATTCTAGGTCTTCGATCTCTTCATAATGCATTACGTTATTTGCCACTAATTTTTGTATTCTAGGTACATTTGTATCTTCTTGATATTGCATTTACCCTTGGAATACTTCCATTGCTGGCCTTTCTTTTCTGCATTACCAAGCTACACCACCTATGCAAAAATAAAAGGCCAAGAACACATGCCCAACTCTATGACATAAGTACTGTTGTGTTCTAAGCCATACAGCCATATATTTACAACTAAGATATAGCATTTATCTGCAAGTGCAAGAAGGCACCATAAATTAAGTTCTGTAATCATTATTGCAGCTACATCGGGGTTTAGGAATCAACTATTTTAAGAAAACAAATCATATGATGCAATTAACCTCAAAATCAGCCAATACTCCACAAAGCTGGAATCCCATGTCCCATTACCATGATTGAAAAAGCTATACGATACCACGGTTGGGCGTGAATTAAGTCAAGTGATCCCTTGTTATAAACAAAAGGCAACGCAAACGGAAATTGTGTCTAGCAAGAAAACTAAATTGGCATTTATTTGTTGTACTTATGGCTCTAATTCCTCACAAGATAAGACTCCTCTACCAAATAAGAGGAGCCCTGATGCCAGGAGTATGACCACGATATGTCTCAACATAGTAGCTTCGAATAAACTTAGTAACCTTTTTCCCTAACAATTCAAATTCACTATCGCAAAGATAAGCCACCAACAAAAGAGAAAACAAACACGCAAACACAAAGAAACAAAATCACAAATAATAAATAAATTTTCCAATGCATGTACTGTTTTGCTTTTACAGTAATGATGAAGTAAAAGGAGGAAATACCAAAACGCACATGACAATTGATTAAAAA